AACGTCCGATAACGGATTGAGGCTGATCGACTTCGCCGGGGCCCGAAAAATGGTAATATGTACTACTAGGTTCCTGCACAAGGCATAAGAACATCCACCAAGCTACATGGCTGTCTCCAGATCGAAAAACGAGAAATCAAATCGATCATGTTGGGATAAACGGAAGGCATGCTTCAAGCGTTTTAGACGTACGTACACCCCGAGGGCCAAACATCGACTCAGACCACTATCTCGTTGTAGCCAAGATACGCACCCGCCTCTGTGCACCAAACAAAGTTCGCGCAATAATGCATAAAAAGCTTAACGTCGAAAAGCTGCAATCACAACAGACTGCCAATTTATTCACCACTCGACTCACACACCTGCTCTCTGAGAGCACTCTTCAACAATCCGACATACGCGAGCAGTGGAACCATATTTCCCGATCATTAAGTACCGCCGCCGAAGAAGTAGTCGGATTTCAGTGAGCCCGAAAGAACAACTGGTATAATGAGGAACGTCAAGAGGCCGCAGACCAAAAAGACGCCGCCTATAGGGCCACGCTTCGATTGGGTGCAACGCGAGCCATGTGGGACCGTTGTAGGGAACTAAATAAGGAACCGAGACGTATTTGCCGCAATAAGAAGAGAGAGGCCGAAATACGTGAGTGCGAAAAGCTTCAGACGCTGGTCGAAATGAAGAACGCCATAAAATTTTCCCAGAGAGTTAGGCGACTTACGGAAGGTTTCAAGACCTGGGCGAACTCCTGTAAGAACAAGAATGACGACCTAGTGACCGATGTCCAGAATGTACTTAAATTATGGAGGGAACCCTTTTCAACCCTACTGAATAGTAGTAGTGCTGAAAGTAGTAGAGACGACGAACCCGAGCCCCAGTCGATGACGATGGAGTAGTTGTCCCACCGCCTGATTATGACGGGGTGCGAATAGCGCTTATGCTGCTGAAAAAAAAACCAAGCTGCTGGAGTTGACGGCCTGCCAGCTGAGCTATTCAAGTACAGAATGTGGTCAGATGTCCGTATCACCAACGACTAGAATTTAAGTGTGCTTTGCCCAACCCACAAGAAAGGCGACCCACCATTCGCGCCAACTACCGCGGAATCAGCCTTCTAAGCATAAGTTATAAGGTCTTATGGAGTGTATTGTGCGAAAGACCGTCAACGAACTGATTGGACCTTACCAGTGTGGCTTTAGGCCTGGCAAATCTACCATAGATCAGGTATTCACTATACGCCAAATCTTGGAAAAGACCCGCGAGAATAGGATCGACACACACTACCTGTTTGTCGATTTCAAAGCCGCTTTCGACAGCACGAAGAGAAGTTGCCTTTATGCCGCGATGTCTGAATTTGGTATCCCCGCGAAACTAATACGGCTGTGTAAGATGACGTTGAGCAATACCAGCAGCTTCGTCAGAATAGAGAAGGACCTCTCCGAGTCGTTTGATACCAAACGAGGTTCCAGACAAGGGGACTTAATTTCGTGTGTTTTCTTTAATTGGACGTTGGAGAAGAAAATAAGGGCCGCAGAACTGAACCGCTCAGGCACAATACTTTATAAGAGCGTACAATTGCTGGCGTATGCCGACGACATCGATATTATCGGTAAAAACAAGGGCTACGTCTGTTCAGTCTTCTCGGGATCGGATAGAGAAGCAAAGCGAATGCGTCTGGTTGTGAACGAGGACAAAACGAAGTATCTCCTGTCATCACACAAACAGTCAGAGAATACGCGTCTTGGCACCCACGTCACTGTTGACAGTTACAAGTTTGAAAAAGTAGACGACTTCGTTTATTTGGGAACCAGCTTTAACATCAATAATAATGTCAGCCTTCTAACCCAATGGAGAATCACTATTGCCAACAAGTGCTACTTTGGGCTGAGTAGGCAATTGAGAAGTAAAGTCCTCTCTCGTCGTACAAAGATCACACTCTATAAGTCACTCATCATGCCTGTGCTGGTGTATGGCGCGGAAGCATGGACAATGAAAGCATCTGATGAGGCGGCTCTTGGAGTTTTCGAGAGAAAGATTCTGCGAAAGATTTACGGACCTTTACGCGTTGGTGATGGCGAATATCGCAGACGATTTAACGATGAGCTGTATGAGCTTTACAACGATATAGACATAGTGCAGCGAATTAAAATTCAGCGGCTCCGCTGGCTTGGCCATGTTCGAATGGACAGAAACGCTCCTGTTCTGAAAATATTAAATGCGGGCCTTGATGCTGGTAAAAGAGGAAGGCCTCCTCTGCGTTGGAAAGACCAGGTGGAGAAGGACTTGGCTTCACTTGGCATTTCCAATTGGCGTCAGTTAGCATAGAAGAGAAATGACTGGCGTGCTTTTGTGGACTCGGCCAAAATCGCTTTGGCGGTTACAGCGCCAATAAAGAGAAGAATCCCGGAGACAACGCTACTGCTCAGCCACGGCTCCTGGATCAGGACTACGTCGGCTCCACCTTGCTCAAGTTGGATGAGGAGATTTGCGGACGCCGCCTTATCTGCAAGATCTCCATCCTCCAAAGACTTATCCAGCCACGCCAGTTCGACGTCCTCGCTGACCGAGGCTAGAAGCCTCTCTTCCTCCGCCCCGTCATACAACCAACCGATGCTGATGAAGGATCCCTCGGTTGAGAGAGCATCCCAGCAGTTTCGGCTTCTAACGTGACGGATTCTAACTCCATGCTCATGGGGGTTTCTTCCGCCTCGGGCTATCGCATCGTTGGGACCTCCGGAGATTGAGAGCCATCCCTCGTAGCATCGGATTGGTAAACCCTAAGGACTACCCTCTCGAAGTCATAAGTTATGGCTCTTTCTGACTCAGCGAGGGGACCGAGGGACTCCGCGTTTAGTAATATCAGCGCTTGCCGATTCCTCAGACCCCTCAAATCTGACAACCCTCCAATGCAATGTTCCTCTTCCGAAAATTTTTTCAGTAGATGATCAATGTTATTGAAGGAATTTCCTTCCCTTAGTTCTGAGCCAGATTACTCAAAACCGGTTAAGCATACCACGGTTCACAGACTTGACACTGAAAGAAACCTTACTTTTTCTAAGCCAAGGCGCTTAGATCCTATCAAATTTAAAGTAGCTAAAACTGAATTCGATTTTTTGGTAAAACTGAGATTCCAGACCATCAAATTCATCCGTGGCATCTCCACTTCATTTAGTACCAAAGAAGTTAATGACTGGCGTCCTTGTGGTGATTTTAGAAGACTTGATGCTGTAGCTGTACCGGATCGTTACCCCTTGCCTCATATTCGCGATTTTAATATGAACCTCAGGAATAAAAATATATTTTCAAAACTAGATTTAGTAGGAGCGTATCACTAAATTCCAATGGCAGAAGAAGACATTTTTAAAACGGCGATTACTACTCCTTTTGGTATGTTTGAGTTCACCCGAATGTCTTTCGGGCTGAGGAACTCAGCGCAAACGTTTCAGAGATTCATCAACGAAGTAGTAGGTAAATTAGATTTTGTTTTCGCGTATATTTATGATCTACTAGTCGCAAGAGAGAGTAAAGAACAACATTTGAGTATGATTTGAACGTCAAACCAAGGGCATTGTTTATCTGAAGCAGGAATACAACGTTCTGAAAATAGAGTAGAAGCGATTCCCAATTTTGAACGACCGAAGTCAATAAAACAGGCGCAAGAGTTTATTGGTATGGTTAACTATTACCATAGATATATTTCAAAATTAGCTGAGTTTACTGGAGTTATATATGATTTAATTAATAAAACAAATAAAAAACGAGACAATATTTTGGTTTGGGATGACAAATCCATTAAATCTTTTGAATCCGTTTGTTAAGAAAGATACGGCAGCACCCTAACTGCGATGTGCCACCCTGTGACAGCAAATGATAGGTTTTCTTGAGTATGTTTTTGACAATACGTTTTCTTTCCTTTCTGCCTTTACTTCTTACAAGGAGCGTGAGAAATTTTACATTATTTAATAAAATCCAGATAGATCCCTGAAAATACTAAAGTAAGTACTATTGTAATATCTGTAAAGCACTTGTAACTAATGAATAAATATAAACACCAGTTATTTCAAACATCTCAATACATAAACGAGTGTTTTGGAAATTTGGGCGTGGGATCGCTGGCTTCCGCAACAACTTTGAAATAATTTAACATTTCCCAATTTGCAAAATGCCCGATGCTGGAATGTCAGAAGGTCATAGCTGTAAGAGTTGCTCAAAGGCAGACAATTCGCAAATGGTTTGCTGTGATGTATGCGATCAATGGTATCACTTTCGATGTGCTGGCGTTACGGCCTCCATCGAAAACGTGGACTGGCGCTGTTCAGATTGCTCTACATCTTCACGCAGTACGACGACTGGGGCGGAAAAACAAAAGGCTGGCGCTGGTGTTGCCCTCCCTAACCAGGCGACTGAAGGCAAGCAGGGTCGGCAAATTACGGTCAGCCATGAGGAAGGCGCTGCCTGCGCACTCACGCCACAAGAGGCGACCCATCCATCACCTACAGCCGCAACCGGACAAGGTGGTACGTCGAGTCGGAGTAGTCCTGGCAGTAAATCGGCAAGAGCCCGACGGTTCCGTGCAGAAGCATCACTAATCGAAGAAGAGGAGCGGATCCTGCGTCAAAGGGAAGCTCTACTTGATCGGCGTAAAAAGCTTCTGCAACAAGTAGAAACCGAAGACGAATGTTCAGACCTAGATGAAGGTTTGGACACTATCGCAGTTCAAAAGTGGTTGAATGGCACTGGGCACACCTTGCCCACCTCAGGGCCACCGAATAAAGGTGAAGGCATCCGGCACCGTGACCATGGCGGTATTTCTGCCACTCCTCTGCGGCCAAATGAGTCACCAGCTGACAACAATATGCAAAACCAAATCACTTCGTTGCAAGAGAAGTTCTCTACCCTTGAACAGCAGGTGCAAACACATGCCGGGCCCGCAGTCGGTATGACTTGGCTACCGAAATTGGTACCCGAGCGTGTGCCAGCGCTAACAGAGTCTCAACCACAACTGGCAGGGCAGACTTTGTCACGGCCACCCGATCAACGCTGCCTAACCAAAAATCAAATTGCTGCGCGCAATGGTGTTTGTAAAGAGCTGCCTAAGTTCAACGGGAAACCTGAAGAATGGCCCCTGTTTCTGGCCACATATCAACAGACCACCGAACTATGTGGATTTTCGGAGGGTGAAAACTTATTGCGCTTACGTCAGGCGTTAGAAGGAGCGGCACGGAACGCAGTAAGAAACTTACACGCGTCCTGCGTCCCACAAATACTCGACACACTACGAATGAAATTCGGACGTCCCGAACTTATTATTGCCGTGCTCCTGGCACGAATTCGAGAAATACCAGCAGTAAAAGAAAACCGCCTTGAGGCTCTCGTAGATTTGGCCTTGGAGGTGCAAAACATCTGTGCAACAATGAAAGCTTCAAACATGGTCTGCCACCTTAACAATCCCGAGTTGGAACAAGAGTTGGTTGGCAAGCTGCCAGGATTGCTCGCCGCCTTTTGGGGCATGCACAAATTGCAGTTGACTTCCTCAAATTTCGAAAGTTTCGGTGAATGGCTATTTCAGTTTGCTCAAGGGGCGAATAGCATTCTCGTGTCAAGCGTCGCCCCAGAACTTCTACCAAACGAGGATATTTAAATGCACACGCAAATAATGTCGGAACTGGGAAAAGGGTCGCATGTATTGTTTGTCACGGCGAGTGTAGTTCGGTTGGAAGCTGTCATCAGTTTAGAAGCGCGGACAGGGCTGCGCGGTGGCAATTGGTGCGCGCGCATAGGTTATGTCGTCGCTGTTTAAAGGCGCATAATAAGTTCAACTGCCAGTCTACTGCCACCTGCGGTATAGAGGGTTGCTCTTCCATCCACCATCAATTACTGCACAAACATCCTCATGATGTGGTTAGCCCACCACTTGCTAACCTAATGTTAAACGCGCATAGCAGTGACGCCGATTCGATCCTATTTCGGGTGTTGCCAGTAACACTCCATGGGAATAATATCAAACTTCAAACTTACGCTTTCTTCGATGATGGATCTTCACTTACGCTAATGGATGCCGAGCTACAAGAGAGGCTGAATCTGAAGGGCACTTCGCAACCTTTATGCCTGAAATGGACTGCAAACACCCATCGCTATGAAGAGGACTCCCAAGTGCTCGAGTTGGGAATTTCCGGTGCCAATGCAAAAAGGCGCTTCGTTTTGAAGGATGTGCGCACTGTGAAAGGGCTCGAACTGCCGTTGCAGACGCTCGATGTTAAAGGGCTTCAAGCTAGATTTTCGCATCTTAGAGGCCTACCGTTGTCCTCCTATGAAGATGCCATACCCAAGCTACTAATAGGCCTGAACAACAGCCGACTAGGCCTAAGTCTACGTTCCCGCGAGGGCTCAGACAACGAGCCGGTAGCGGAAAAGACACGCCTAGGATGGACACTGAAAGGAGTTCTTGTTAAGCAGCCTCAACCCGCTGCCTATCATGCGTTCCACAGCTGCGACTGCGACGCCGCTGCCAACGCTGAGTTGCTAAAGGCTGTCGAAGAGTACGTCTGCCTTGATAATGTCGACATTAAATGCAAATCGGCCAGTCTGATGTCGAAAGATGACCAACAAGCTGTCGAACAACTTAAATCGACGACAAAGCGCATCCAAGGCCGTTTCGAGACCGGCCTGCTCTGGAGACACTCTGACATCACACTTCCTGATAGCCTCCCGACTGCCTTGCGGAGAGCTCAATGCTTACAAGCGAAGCTAAAGCGATATCCGGAGCTCGCCGAGATCTTGTCGTCTAAGATCGCAGCTTATGTAACCAAAGGATACGCCAAACCTTTGCCAGTTGAGTCGCTACTGGAAAAAGGGTGCTGGTATCTGCCGATTTTTCCCGTGTATAACCCACACAAACCAGGAAAGGTCCGCCTCGTGTGGGATGCGGCCGCAAAAACCAAGGGCATATCTCTCAATTCTATGCTTTTAAAAGGACCCGATCAGTTAACGTGCCTGGTGTCCGTCTTGAGGAGATTCCGTCAGCGAGCGATAGCGGTGAGTGGCGACATAGAGGAGATGTATCATCAGGTCCGAATCCGATCCGAGGACCAAAACTATCAGCGCTTTGTTTGGCTCGAGCCAGGAGATAGCAAACCTTCAGTATTCGTAATGTCCGTCATGACTTTCGGGGCCACCTGTTCACCCAGTAGTGCGCAATACGTAAAGAACCTAAATGCGAACGAATTCCACAGTCGTTATCCGAGAGCCGTCGAAAGCATCGTTAAAAACCACTACGTTGACGATATGCTCGACAGTGTAGATACGGTAGAGGAGGCTATTCAGCTTGTTAGCAACGTCAGTTTCATTCATAGCAAAGGTGGATTTCACATCAGAAACTGGCGATCAAACTCCGAGGAAGTACTTAACGCACTGCAAGTTAACGCTATTGACTCCGAAAGAAGCCTCGACACCCCTCAAGAAGTACCAGTTGAAAAGGTTTTGGGCCTGTGGTGGCTCACCAAGGAGGACTGTTTCACGTTCCGACTCGCCCAGCATCACAAAATTGGGGAACTGCTGCGCGGCGACCACCGTCCAACCAAGAGGGAAGTATTAAGCGTTGTCATGAGCATTTTTGATCCCTTGGGACTTCTCAATTTCTACGTTATATACGCCAAAGTAATTTTTCAGGACGTTTGGCGCTCCGGCTGCGGCTGGGACGACAGCGTTCCCGACGAACACTACTCCAGCTGGCAGAAATGGGTTCACCTACTCCCCAGGGTAGAGGGTTTGCGGATACCGCGATGCTACTTCCAAAACTTGGGTCACGAGTCCGAGCTAGAGATGCACGTGTTCGTGGACGCCAGCGAAAACGCCTACGCTGCCACATGTTATCTTCGCCATACTCGGGGTGATGTCGTAAACTGTACTCTAATAGGCAGCAAGGTGAAGGTGGCACCTGTAAAGATGCTTTCCATTCCCCGACTGGAGCTTCAGGCTGCCGTCATAGGCGCCCGATTGGCGGCAGGCGTTCTCACTTCACATACGCTCCCCATCAGACGGCAAACATTCTGGACCGACTCTCGCACTGTGCTGGCATGGATTCGCTCTGACCACCGGCGTTACTCCCAATTTGTGGCCTTTAGAGTCAGCGAAATTTTAGAGCTAACTGACGTGAGTGATTGGCGATGGATTCCTTCAGCGGAGAATGTGGCAGACGACGCTACAAAGTGGCAAACAGTACCTGACTTTTCAAATCAAAGCCGTTGGTTCAAAGGACCACAGTTCTTAAAACTCGCACGCAGCCACTGGCCGAACGATACAGAAGGCACCCAGACAACCGTCGAAGAACTTAGAGCGAAGTACGTAGGTCACCACGATGCGGCGCACCAGCCTCAAAGGTTCTTGTCAATTCATGAACGCTTCTCCCGCTGGTGTCGTCTCCTGCGAGCAACGGCAACTGTTTTACTAAGCGTCCGCATCTGGAAGCTCTATCGCAAAGGAAGCCGAATGTGTCCGCAACTAGTAGAACAAGAAGATCTTAAGCACGCCGAAATACTTCTTTGGAGGGAAGCCCAATTTGACGCGGTTGCCGACGAGATCGCCTTGCTCCGCAAAGGAAAACCGGTCGCTCGTACGAGCTCTATATTCAGGCTCTCACCGTATCTCGATGATGCGTCATTGCTTCGGCTTTGTGGTAGAGTCAATCTGCCAGGACAGGAAGATCCAGTCATATTGCCGAAAAGCCACAACATAACTCGACTTATTGTTTCAGACTATCATATCAAGTATTTTCACGGAAGCTCTGAGACAGTTGTGAATGAAATACGCCAGACCTTTTGGATTCCCCGACTACGCACAGTCGTAAGCACGGTACGCCGTGAATGTCCAGTTTGTCGGCATCGCAGTGCTGTTCCACGCCCTCCGAAGATGGGCGTTCTACCCGCGCCTAGAGTGACCCTTTTACTCGGCCATTTACGTACGTGGGAGTCGATTACTTCGGGCCAATATTGATCGCTGTACGTAGGAGCACCGAAAAAAGGTATGGCGTTCTCTTAACATGCCTCACAACGAGAGCGGTACACTTAGAGATAGCATACTCGTTGTCCGCCGACTCATGTATTCTCGCCATTCGGAGTTTCATGGCCCGGCGTGGAGTACCACACGAATTTTGGAGTGACAACGCTACCAACTTCAAGGCTACACATCGGGAACTAATTAACGCTTTCAATACGATGGATAAGGAAAAACTCGTGAGGACATTTACGAACTCCACCATGAAGTGGAAGTTTATACCGCCAGCGTCGCCCCACATGGGCGGAGCCGGGGAACGGCTCGTCCGCTCGGTAAAGGACATCCTCCCAAGGATATTACAGTCACAACGTCCTTCCGAAGAGCTACTGCGCGGTGCCCTAATGGAGATTGAGGCGGTCATAAACTCTCGACCGCTCACCTACATACCACTCGATCACTGCGACGCCGAGGCTCTCACACCGAACCACTTCCTGTTAGGGAGCTCGAGCGGCATGAAACCCTTAGTAGAGTTTGTCGACGGTGCAGCTGAATTGCGCGAAGGTTGGCGATGCGCGCAACAACTGGCGCGATAACGCGACGAACCAAATGGTTCGAAAACGTGAAGCCTATTGAGGAAGGGGACGTCGTCTACATAATCGATCCCAACGGGCCCAGAAACTGCTGGCCTAGGGGTCGGGTAATCTCCGTAAGGAAGGGATCCGACGGGCAGGTAAGAAGCGCCTTTGTTAAGACTAGCGCTGGTATCTACGAAAGGCCTGCCACGAGACTTGCCGTACTTTCCATTAGTGCTTCGCAAGATGAGGTAGATCCGAAGGATATACCTGGGGGGAGTGTTAAGAAAGATACGGCAGCACCCTAACTGCGATGTGCCACCCTGTGACAGCAAATGATAGGTTTTCTTGAGTATGTTTTTGACAATACGTTTTCTTTCCTTTCTGCCTTTACTTCTAACAAGGAGCGTGAGAAATTCTACATTATTTAATAAAATCCAGAAAGAATAGATCCCTGAAAATACTAAAGTAAGTACTATTGTAATATCTGTAAAGCACTTGTAACTAATGGATAAATATAAACACCAGTTATTTCAAACATCTCAATACATAAACGAGTGTTTTGGAAATTTGGGCGTGGGATCGCTGGCTTCAGCAACAGCATTAAAGAAAAGTTTGCATCTAAGATTTTGCTAAATCATTTTAGCAAATATGCAAAATTGTCTTTGATGGTAGATGCATCCAATACGGAAATTGGTGGTGTCATACGGTGGGGTGCAATAAGGCCATACGCAATAAAGCCATATTGGAAATAAAGCCATATTTTTTTGGTAATAAGGCCATAAATTCGATATGGCTTTATTTCCAATTACAATTGGTAATTAAGCCATATGGCTTTATTTCGCTTTCAAATTTTTAAGTTTCTTTTATTTGAACAATGGAAAAGTTCGCAACAAAACTACTAAACCGCCTTGAACTACAACGTCACCTTAAACATGCAATTACTCTCCTTCGCGTCCAGCCGCGCCGCGCTCCGCCCTTCACACGCGGCGCGGTGCGGGGAGCCAGCAAATGTGCACCCGCCAGGTTATGCACTCGCAAAATTAAAACTTACCTAAGTACATATATTTATTTTTCAATATCCAATAAATCCGGAAATATTAAATAATGATTTATTTCATTTTATTAGTAATAATTTGTATAAATTTAAATAATTCAGTATCAGTTTCAAGAGTGTGTCCAAGGCGAATTTAATAATGAATTACAACAAACACATCATTTGGACGTAATGTTCAGATAAAATTCAGATTCACCGTTAACACCGCCTTGAGAGGGTCATTTCAGAATATGGCTTTATTTATCATTTACAAAATTTTTTGTATGGCTTTATTTCTCTTTCTGATTGGAAATAAAGCCATATGGCTTTATTGCCTAAAAATATGCCTTTATTGCCATATGGCTTTATTGCGTATGGCCTTATTGCACCCCACCGTGTCATACAGCATCATTTCAATAGTAAAGAAGTCTGAACCACTCTTTTCAAAGAAACTCTCTCCAGCAGAAATGAAAATATTAAACATTTTTGGTATTTATTAGAAGGAAGAGAGTTTACCGTTTTTACTGACCACAAACCCTTGATTTTTGCTCTAAATTCCAAAACTGAGCGTAGTCCAAGACAGACAAGACATCTTGAGTTTATTGCACAGTTTACTAGTGACATACAGTATATAAAAGGACAGGCCAACATTGTAGCTGACACGTTATCTCGTGCGTTTGAAGTAGATGCGACTAAAAATTCAAAACTTCATTTCAAAATTTTACAGAGTGGACAGCAACAGGACAGTGAACTTGATAAACTTATTTCTGGACAAACGTTTCAAAATCTTAAATTAATTAAAATTCCTCTTCTAATTTTTTAAAAGTTTGGTGTGAAGTCGTAGGAGAAAGTACTAGACCTTTCGTTCCAAATAATTTGCGCAGGAAAGAGTTTGATATGTTACATGGAATTGCTCATCCTGGTACCAAGGCTACACGCCGATTAATGGGGAAGAAGTATTATTGCTCTTGTATTAACAAGGAGATAAACATATGGTCTAAAGGATGTGTAAGTTGCCAGAAATCTAAAGTTTATCGCCACACAAAATCTCCTGTGAGTACAATTCCAATTCCAAAGAGCAGATTTGAACATATACATTTAGATATTGTTGGACCGCTTCCTGTTATCGCTACATTTTAGCTATTATGTATAGATTTACTCGTGCACAAATAAATTTGATACTGAATATGTATGGCGTTTCGGTTTGCCTTTAGAAACCACGATAAATCAGGGTACTTAATTTACGTCCAAATTATTTTCGGATCTTACTAAATTGCTTGGAAGTCATCACACACAACTTCTTCCTATAATCCTCAAAGTAATGTTATTGTGGAACGATTCCATAGACAACTGAAATCTTCAATTATGGCTAGGAATGGAACTAGAGATTGGTACAATGAGCTACCGATAATTCTTCTTGGTTTGCGTTCAGTGTACAAAGAAGATATTGCAGCCACTCCAGCTGAAATGATTTTTGGCCAAAATTTGCGTCTACCTGGAGAACTCGTTGTGCCAACTACAGAAAATGTTACTTCCTCCGAAATTTTAGGAAGTTTACGGGAACGTTTTAAAAACTTTAATCCAAATTTAAAACATCATAAAAATTCCGATTCAGGAATTTATGTTCCAAAAGATTTACAAACGGGCAAATTTGTTTTTATTCGCATTATTAAAAAACAAGCATTCTCTTCAAAATCCTTATGAAGGGCCTTACAGAGTTACTGAAAAAGACAAAAAAAAAATATTTTAAGGTAGATGTAAATAATGAAATTAAGATTATTTCGGTTTACAGAACAAAGCCAGCAATAGTTGAAATAACACAACCACATAACACTAACAATCATGTAATTTCAATAACGACTAAAAAGAAACAAGTTACTTTCAGTTTGTATAATAACTAGCAGACCCGGCGAACTTCGTCCCGCCCAAAATTTTTATATATTTTATTGAAACTTTTTGGTCCAACATTTTCACCAACAATTCACGTTTACGATTTTCATTTGCACATTTGTCTGCTAAGATTAAGGTTTGGTGGTAATTTGCCGCTTTAAATAACCTAAGGAAAGTGTTATATCCGTTCTTGAAATTCTCCAGTTGTGCGGCATTTCATAGCACGGTTATTCGCAAAGCGAAATAAATTTTTTCCTCTTCACTCCCTGGCGGCAACAATGACCCGGTTCTATAGTGAATGTCCTAGAAGCTTTACAGTATAGTAGGTGGCAATTTCAAAATGGGTGCGAATCGTTGTTCTACAGAAATGCAATATACATATACTTACGGTACCTCGGTACGTTTGTAGGCCTCACACCCCTTTTCAAATAGCCCAAATTTTCTCCATGAGTGTGGGCTTGATTTCAACTATATACATATCTCCATACGAAGTTCCAGTACTGTACCATGAATACTTTCAGAGATATGCAGTATAAAAATTCGATTTATATGGGAGGTGCCACGCACCCCTTTCCAACAGCTGCCCTCTTTCTTCGTGAGTATGCGATTGATTTCGTATAGCTCCATACCAATTTCCAAAACTCTACCATGCACACTTTCAGAGATATGTAGCATGAGAAACGCGGTTTGTATGGAC